TGTTTTGTTTTTTTAACCTTTTTTTTTGGCTTTTTTTTTTTCCTTTTTTTTTTTTTTTTTTTTTTTTTTTTTTTTTTTTTCATTAGGGTCAGTTCAGCATTAATTTGGCTGGTACAGGTCTAAGATTATCCAGTACAGTTAGGTGGATTTCTCAGGGCAACTATGCAACTGCTGACATACACAAATCCCATGTAAGTCGATGTTGTTTTCCTTTACCTGCTCTTATGGCTTGGAATATTATGCTTCCAGAGGTGCAAGTGATGGCTCTCTAGTGAAAACTAGTTGTGAATCAAAAATAGTGCTCAAGGTCTCTGACCCATCTAAATGTTCTTCCAGATGTAATGTGAAAACTATGTTTAATCACACTGCCCAGAATCTAATCCAGATCAATGCTGCCTGCCTACTCTTCTCTTACTGATTTTAAGAGCCTATTCTTATATTAATCAGGTTTATTAAAAGTTTTGAAGATACCTAATAATACTTAAAAAAAAAAAAAAAACACCCCCAAAAACCATTTTATTAAAGATACCCTACTACAGAGAATCCTTACAGATTGCTTGCCTCCAACTTCATTCATGTGGGAAACCAAAAGACCAGTTGAACAAGAACAGTAAGCATGCACAGTTTAAGACAACATTGGATGGTAAACCGGGAAAGAAGGTGTACAGCGATACTGATAAAGGATCTCTGTGCCCGTTTTGCTAATTCGATGCTGTCTCTTGATTTAGTATTTGTAGGTACAATTTGTCAAAATGTCTATTGTGTGCAAACCTCAAGGAGCTTTTTGTACAACTGTGATTTCTCTTGATTGAGTGTTCTCTTTGTCTTAATTCCCAGGATGGTACTAAAATATATGGAAGATGTGGAGGATTTTGTGGAAAATGTATTCCTAACACAATTATTGGTCTTCAACTTCAAATACAGTGAGAACTCTGATGTGGTAAGAGCATCAAAGCAGGGACGTCTGCCGTTTAGGTGCAAATTATAGGTGCTGTGTGTATATATATATACATATATATAAATTCTTTCATCTCTGTAATGCTCATTAATGCTCACTACTAAGAATTCCTGTTTTCTTCAGTGTTTATTCAGGCATGTATTATCCGCCTGTGGACTAGCAAGTGCATAAATCACAATCATAAACCTTCAGGTTTTAATGGAGAGGCATTAATTCAATGTACAGTATATATTAGCAAGTAAATTGCACTGAGGTTACTACCATGAGTAACACTCTAAATTGTATCATAATTGTAATACTTCACCTGCGACTAATCAGTGCAATTCCTTATGCAGTATTCAGTAAAACTTATACTCCACTGGTTTTCTTGATCAACTGTACTAAAATATAGAAAGGAAAGAATTATTGCTATGTAGAGAAGACAGGTAATAATTTCAAATACTTCCAATTTTGTGAAACCTTTTAGGAATTATCTGTCAACAACTTACAGCAGAAAAGTATATAACAACATACTTGAGATGATAGTTTCTATAGATCTGTGTGTTTCTCTGTCAGTAAAAGCATTTTTTCCCCATCCCTTTCATTATATTCTTTGTGGTGCTCAAATACTAGCAGTAATCCTGAGAAGTGTGGTTTAACCTCTGTAGTCTCCATAGCACATGTTAAACATCTAGGCTTAGTTTTGTTGTGGTTACAGGAAAAGAAAATAAGGAAACAAATTGCTTGGAAATCTGATTTTAAATCCCTGCTTTTCATCCAAGTATACAGTAAAAGCACTGTATTCTATTTACCGTAGCATCTTGTATGTGATTGTATAAATATGTATTTACTTAAACACTTTCCATATACACCTTACTCCTTTATACTGGCTGGTGGCACGTTAGTAAAGGCTGTAGTGTGTCCCCCTCTTATATTCCAATTCAATGTAATTGTCAGTAACTTTAGTGAAAACCCTGGGCAGAGGCAGCATCAAGCCCCACAGTGGTTTTGGTGTCCATCTTTGACTCAGTTTAATTTTTCAATGTTTGTAAATACAGTTCTAACATCTGCTAGTTAAATTTTTTTCTTCCAGAAAAGCAAGGGTATGAAAGAATTACAAGGTTTAAAAAACAATCTAGCTCTTTGATTTGTTGTTTTGTATTACTTTACAGTGCAGAACTGTAGAAATATATGCATATAAAGATAATGTGTGTCAGGGCCAACTCTCAGGTATTCAGAATAAAATTTTCTACATGCATAATAACATATATTATGTACCAGATAACTATACATGCATTTTCTGACAATATGCATTCTGTAAACCAAATATTTGTTTTGCATGCCAGTATAATTGGTAGATCAAGTGGCAGCTATGTCATATTTTTACCCACAAAGAGTTAGCCAGGAATTAGCAATATATATTAACGAAAAACAGTACTGTACCACAGAAGCGTAAGGAGCTACTTTTTAGATAACACATGTAGGTAATTATTTTGTGATCTCTGCATCAGAAATGTATTTTTGCACTATGTGCCTTATATTAGTTGTAAACATTAATAAGAACATAAAACATTATTTTCCTAGAAATGTTTACATTTATAATTAAAATCTTGTAATTTATAAAATATTTATATAATAAATATGCTTGTGTGAATGGCACCAGAGTACTTTTGCTTGTTTTTTTAATCAAATGCTTAGTACAAAATGTTGCAAAAACATTTCAACTTGTTTATGCACAGAATAACTACATCCTTAATACCTCTTCACTTATACTGGAGTAACTGCCACATGAGCAGGTTATAGTCATAGGATATTTTCCATGGAAACAAATCCTGCTTCAGAGGTACAAACTCCATGTCTGTGTGCTCTTTCCATTGTCCTCCCGGGTCCACCTATACTTTTCCTGGGCGGTTGCCCTGTAAATAGTTCACTGAAATAATGTAAGAATCTGAAATAATCTTCCTCCTCCTTGTGCTAAACTTGGATCAATTCGTTTATAGCATGGTCCCTAAACAACTGCTTTGGCAGAAGGGGAACTGCAGTCCACCTCCATCCCCAGGAGGACTATTTTCTTATCAGCCCTGAAACTCCAGTTAAGGTCTAGGAAGCGCTCAGATCTGCTGCAACAGAATCACTCTGAAAATCCACTACCAAACAAAATGACTTTTAACCCAATATTCAACACAGCGTGTTTTTATTGGGTAATAGTAGTGATTTTTGAGTAAAAATGTATTTTCTATGATTAGAGCAAACCCTGTGGCCCAACGTCAACTTCTGCATAAAACAGCACTGTATTGTATTGTAGTTTTTTTGCATCTTTTCTTTCTTTTATCCTTGCTTTGGAGTTTCAGCCCTGGTGTGGGGGGAAAGTACTTGTCTGTTCTGGCATTTTGTGAATTCCTTTTGATTTTGTTGAGAAAAAGGGCTTAATCCATCACCCCATTTGACTCTACTAACTTTTCATCCTGAGGACAATTTCAGGAAAACATGAGCCTGGTGATCAGCTGTGATGAATTTGGAGATGTGATGATCCTGACGTGTCAGAAGGTCCATGCAATAAAATTAGAATCATGTGTTGAACTTGCAGTATCACGTTTCCATCTCCTTTAATTGACACTGCTGTGGATTTCCATGGCACTGGGCAGCTGAGATGTGTGCCAGAGTAGCGGGGAGCTCCACCTCGTCGGTCTATGCGTGCCGAGCTGCCCACGGCTGGTCACCGTCATGCAGCTCTCCAGCTTTGGTTGATGGTTAGGAAACGAAATGTTCAACTGTCCTGTCACTATTCCATAAAGAAGAAATAATAATTAAGGGATGGTAATAGTTAAAAATGATTGTAACAATACTTTCTGTTAGATGTCTTCTAGGACACTTTCAATCCCAGCAACGACAGCATCAGATATTAGGTGACACAACTGTGCTTACTTGCTTGTGTGTATGCACACAGACACACATATAGCGCTTATCTGAATATTGAATGCCGAAGACGGGCTAGATGTAAAAAACCTTGCTGCTCACATTTATCTCACAAAATGTCACTCAGCATGCTATGAATAGGTGTACTGCCATGTGGCAGTACCTGTGACATCTCTTCATGAAGACATCATCTAGATGTCTTTTACCTGTATTTGCTCTAAGGTGATATTGAGGAGGTAGCAGAGGAGCTGGAAACTCTGGCTGTGGGTCCACTAACAGGTCTCCATCCTAGCTGAATTCGTCCTGGCGTGGTCTGTTGTGTCACTCTCCCTGGAGAGAGGAGCAGAATACGCCCAGGCGTTTGATCCGGGACAGCCCTAAGTGTGTTGTACACTCAGCCAATGCCATGTTCATGAGAAGAGTTGCAACAGCACTTGTATGTCTCTATACAGGTTTCTGATGGATGGTCATGTAGTGTTCTTATCTAACTGAAAGGCTATAATAGCCAAGACATACTCGAAAAGATGAGGGAAAGCTTTGGGGTTTTTCTTCCGCTCCTGTGACTTGGAAAATGTTTATCATAACTTCTCAGTTTTGTTGACTATTTGAAATAAAAGTTACATGTAACAAGGAGGGGGTTTATGTCTTTGCAGTTTTATTGTAGTAACCTATAAGATCCCTGACAAATTCAGAATCTGAATAAAATATTACTGTCTTGTAAGTGCTTTCTGTATCTTGCAGGGCTTTAAGTAAGATTAGTGAGGAGTGTGAGGGGTTGGTTTTTATTGTTTCCATAAAGACACAAATAGATTCCTGAAAATTGATGTTCTGTGGCTATTAAAACTGAACTTGGAGTGGAACAGAAATATGCTGTAATATTTTAACCTTAACTTAAAACATTGAGAACAGGAAAACTATGTACAAAAATAGTTTTGAAGCAAGATAATTGAATATTTAAATAGGAAATTAATATTAAAATGAGCATTTATATATAGACATTGCAGTTGAGATTTCATAGTAATCCATGTTGGCAGTAAATCTATGTTGGCCTTGTTTAAAAATTAAAACAATTTCCAATTGCATTCCAAAGAAGCCCACCACCTTTTCCAAAAATTAACTTTCATGATACAATAGATCTCCAAAAGTTAACTTTCATGAGACAATTGACTTCCATATTTCTATTTTTGTAGAAATTGAACCATGAAATGCCGAAGGCTGCACTTAAATGCCTTTATGCTTACTCATGTATTGAACAGTTAGGTAGTGTCTCACTCACTCAATGCAGGTAAAAGTAGCATGGAGGTCAGCTTGGCAGAACCGATATGAGGTGATGTTCTCCAGGCTAGGGAGTGGCAACCTTGGGGAAGCATTCGTATCCGATGGACCAGCTCGTGGCCTCTCTTGTTAGGCCTGCTTTGCTCTCCCATAGTACTTGGGCATCTTTTCCTGAGCCTTTCTGATTTTTCAAGATGGCCTCATTGTACCTATGCATTAAAAAAAAACTTCGAGGGGGGCCTCATCAGCCCCTCTCTCTGCTGTGCTTTAGAAACAGGCTGAATACAATACTGGCTTTCTTTCAGACGGAGCAGTAATTGTGATGATAGCAGGGGAAAATTTACCTGCATTTTATTCAAGCAGAAGAACAAGCTATCTGACTTGGAGTTGAATCTGACATTTAATCTTCTCATCTACAGAAGGTGGTTTTCTTTTGCACAATTAAGTTTATTTTACAATACCATAGCTTGAGAGGCTTTTCTGGGCTTTGTTTATCCTGGCTTTAGAGAAGCAATCTGTGCTCTGTTTCTGATAAATTTCTCCTTGTGTTCAGTTATGACAGATATTCCTTTGAATTGACTGTATAAAAATACTGTAGCAGCAGAGCAAAGATCTAACTGTATTTATGTCTATATTCTGCCTTTAAACATGAACAGCTGTGCATACATTCATCTGTCTCATGTCTGACTCTGTGCTGCCATCCAGAACCTTTTCCTTTTTAATAAACAAATGTTTCCTTCTTTAATCTGTGTGTGTGTTTTATCTCTGATCCTGTGACACAATTTTCTTGTCCACATAT